TGGTTTATTCTCAAGTATATTGTGAACGAGTTAATTTATCTTAATCTTTTTGAATAATTAGTCATCACTTTCTCCTAATAATTATCAGCTTATAGCCTAACAGCTAGGTTTCCTTTTACTTTAGTATTTAAATAATTGTACCAACTTTTTGTCACACTATATATAGTAGAATCTATATTTACTTACGTACATCTATTTATTGCTACTATCAATATTATTAGTAATAGTACTATTGTCTTTTACTCAATTTTTATACTGTTTACTCTTTTTTCATTTTACTATCTTCCTATCCCTCAGTTTACTTGCTTTGGGTGTATGTTCATCACGTTCATCTACAAATGAATGGCCAGGTAAATTATTGATTCATTGATCTTATTCTCTTTTTTTATGTTCAGTTTATTTCCTTTTCAATGTATTGATTTTTACTTTATTTTTGGTTATTGTTTTGATATAATGGCAAGAAAATAAATGTATGAACAGTATCATTATGTCAGCGGAGTTTATTAATTTACTACAATCGATCAATATGAGCGGTGTGAGGATAATAAAGCAACAATCAAATAAACGTGCTTTGTTCTCTTTTTTGTTTGACTGCAGCAATATTGGTATGATAAATGTCTAGTTTTATAATAAAGTGTATTGTGGCTAAAAATATTTCCTTACTGAATATAATATTTATTGCTTTATAGTGGGGAAAAAAGCTGAATGGTGTATTTAGCCATGTATAACAATAGTAAGAGATAGAGGGAGAGAGAAGAGGATAACAAAATAAAGAATATGTGGTGGATTATTGATTAATGAAACAATTGTTTAACCGTTTCTAAAAGTTTTATTTTAAAGCGGAAGTGTAACTATTGTGTTTTTGTTTTGTCAAGAATAAGTATACATTCATAATAGCAATAATTCATCGATGATGTGATTAGCTTTGAGTCATTTAAACTATATACAGTTAGTTGTAAAATAATTTTGTTGCTTGGACAATAGTCGTTCCCTTTTTAATACTTGAACTGTAGAATAATCGAGGTCAAAGCTTTTTAGTTATTGGCTAAAATTTAATTTACTGATATTTTGCAATCTTATATACTACAATGTAATATTTTGTGGAATTGATGTTTTTCCAAAACAACCTTTTGGTTAATGGGTGGGCAAACAACTTATCATCAGCCTGGTACCATTCAGCTTAAAGGTAACCTTTAATATTGGTCTATTTCATATTCTAAATTGTCAGCTACTAAGTATAATACCATCGGATCTTAGATAGATACACTGAGGAGATTTCCGAATTCGTCTCTATATTGACCACGGAAGATATTGTAAGATGTCGATCTCACTCGGTTCAATAGTAAACATACTTAGAGAATTATTTCCCAAATGACAGATTGATAATGAATTTCCAGTACGTCACTAAAATCTTTAATATTAGTCTTTGTTATCCAAAAGACATTTTTAGTGTCTTAGGTAAACCTGTCTATTGTCCGATTAACTTTAAAGTTCAAATGTTGGAGGTAGGAAGTTTAGTTGGCACGTGTGCTTTCAGAATAGATGTATGAGATTCCATACTGAGTGACAGCTCTTTGTAAACAACCACTTATCGATATAAAACTGTATAGTATATCGAGTTTCCAACAGAAACAGTACGATTTTTCCAGGTATGAATAAAAAAATGGGAATAAAATAACACCGAGATGATTTCGTTCTTATTCATTATACTTTGTATTCGTGAAACCAGTTAATCATGTTTTATTTACTGAATTATCATGATTTGTTTGATTTCTCTGGCATGCTGAAAACATAAAGGATATCTTCTATAGGAGATCAACTTCCAAGTCTTCATGTGGGATCTGGTGACGACATTGTGTTTATCCTTTGCTTGGTCCCTTGAAATCCAGGATATAAGCCCTCTCTATTCATCAATATATCTGAGGAACCAGATGTCTGCTTTCAGCTTTGTGAGAATACCATTACTACTTGTCTAAACAATTAGTAGTAATTCCTTAGAATATAATATCAGCACGTTTCTCTATACAAGTATTTTCAGCGAAAATATGCTCTTCTTTATCAAGTATTCTATGGTATAATGAAGTAGTTGATATTGTGTGGACATGGTTTTTATTAACTATGTGTATATTTTCACTATACATATGCAGAATATTGTATGTACAGTTGCCTGTTCAAGTTGTGATCGTCAATGTCATATTTGTCCCTAATCCTTTAGTTTTAATCAAATTATATCGACCAATTCGCAATATGGCTCCTAGCCTAAGTGACGACATCCCGTTCACTATGTTTCCGTGTTAGATGGTTGGAGCTAGATAGTCAGCATGACACCCTAGTCCTATATTTTGTGCTAACTCCCAATCGTCTACAAGGAGTACCTATAATCTTGGTGAAGCTGATGCTCACTGGTATTCTAACACATGTCACTCACCTTCATAATCTGAGAAATGCTGTGTAAATATATTTCAGTCAATCTTTATTCATTAACAAAGGTGAAATAAAATAGTTTTGTATCTGTTTTTCTCTCCGTTCTCTTTTTCGATTCTGCTAATTCAATATTAAATAAACAATAATAATAATAATAACTATAGGGATGGAATTTACATCGTATGGTTACCACAGTAATAGCGGAACAATTTATCATAATTCCAAAGAACTACCCATTTCTGCGCCTAGTTTTGGCGAATCCGATATAATTGGTTGCGGTGTGAATTTTGTTAATAATTCTGTTTTTTTCACAAAAAATGGTGTATTCGTTGGACCAATAAGTGCTGGTAAAAAGTTGGTGAGTTTTATGTTTTATAAAAATGAATTTTTGGAGGATAATGGTTCCTTATCTATGAGATTGAGTTTACGAATTTCTCAGTGTAAACAATATCTATTATTTAGTGTATAATTATTATAGTCCAACAAGCATTCCATGTATGTGCCCTCGTCTTAATTATTAAATCATCCACCTCCACTCTCCTCTACTTTTTCCTTCCGATCTTTATTACAGAAACAATTCTTCGATCAGTGGAATTTCTTCAGTAAATTTCTCACAAACCACCTGTTTGAATTTAAGTGATTTTATATTCATTAATAAGCGTCAAATCATGATCTATTGCTTGTGTTAGTCTATGTATTAATTTGATCTTTTTAATGTAGTAGTAGAATGTTAACATTCATGGCTCATATTTAATTTTTTTGGTTAATCAGCTAAATATTGCTATGATTCTTAATCTCAAACACAATACGCTTAATTCGATGTAAACCATCCTAACACATCTGGTAGCAGTGTCTATAAATGAGACGTTACTTTATAAGTTTGTTAATGAATCTATGTGCACTCAATGTGTTTCTTCGAAACAATAATAACTAATCTACCACGCTGAAAGATACATATACAGTATCTTCCTCTAAGTCTTAAACATGTTACTATTAACCTCATGGTTTTTTGGGTGTCATTACCAAAGTTTGACTTGACAATTCCAAACAAATCGAGCATTGAGTAGATTGCTATTAATAAAGACAATGTATTTTTAATATCCTAATGAGTAGAAAAAAATTAACTTTTTAAATTTTCTGACGCTTCGTGACTTGTAGTATGTCACTTCTTCAGAGAATAAGTCAACAAATAAAATTAAACCAAGTTTAAATAGTTAAAGAGAACAAAGTAAGAATATTTGGTGCGATCAACCAAAAACAGGTCTGACCAAGTCAATGTCATATCATTCCGTCTCAAGTGACTTATTTCAGGCATTGTTTTTGTTCATCTCAATCGGGGTCGTTCCATCATTATTGGTCTCCTTTTGTTAAGCTACAAAAAATAAAAAATCTTGATCTTATAAATTCTCATTGATTATTTTTACGTGGTCATTGTTGGGAGTCCTCAAGATTATATCGATAAAGTTCCTAGAAGCCCAGAAAACGCTTAAATTAAAACGCTTCGTCCAATCACCATCAAACAGACATATCTATAAAAGTCACTGCTAATTTTGTTGTATCCTAATTAGACAATTACTTATTTTGTTGTATTTCAGAAGCTTCTTGACAGTTACGGCTACTTGTAAACATATAAGCTTGTTTTCTGTACATAAATTAACCTTGAATTAATTAATTTATTTATTATTTACTTATTTGAACATATAAATATTGGTACAAGGGGCACCAAATATATATGCGCCACACAAAACAATGAGGAATTTAAAGAGAAGGGAAGAAAAAAACAACGACCAGATTAGTGTAAGGTAGTGTAATAGTAGTAATAATGGGTGAGTACAGGACTAAAATTCTGCCAGTTTTGTAGAAGTACTTTGTATTCGAAGGTGCAAAGCACATACCATACCTACGGACATTGATTGCTAACTGATTAAGTGCGAATTGCATGGCTTAGGCAATATCGCACAGTAAGACAATATCATCGGCATACTCAAGATCGAGAAGTCTTTCTCCAGGCAACAGATCCACGCCACCATTACTTACATCCGTCAGAGCTGTTTCCAGAATGTCATCGATGGTAAAGTTGAAGAGGAATGGTGAGATTGGGCAACCCTGTCTAACCCCACTGCTTGAATGGAATAATAGAGAGAGGTGGTTGTGTGCCCTTACTCTGCCTGAGGTGTTTGTATATGGGGACTTCAAGATGTTATTTGAATTCTCAGACACACCCTTCTTCGATAGACCATCCCAGAGAACAGTGCTGTCCAACGAATCGATGTCAAGAAACACTACGATTGTCGGCCTTTGATAAGTATGGTGGTGTTTTAACATTTGGCGGAGTGCAAAAATATGATCAATACATCCTCGACCGGAACGAAACCCAGCCTGCTCCTCGCGAGTCAATCCTTCTTGGGTTTTGAACAACCTACGAAGTATGACGGAAGCCAATAGCTTGGGCGCAATCGGAAGTAGACTTATCCCCTGATAGTTATTACAGGAACGACGTGAACCCTTTTTAAAGATTGGGACAACTATGGACTCATTCCATGACGTTGGTACTCTCTCTAGTTCCCAGACCTTTGTAAACAACGTCGTCAGTCCCTTAGACTTCACATCTTTTATTGACTATTTGGTTACGTTTAGGAGTAGCGTGGGGTATGGAAAGTGGCTATTAAGTTAGCAGCAACCGTTATCTTAAAATCAAACATCAATTAACATATGTTCTTCTTAGTGTATAAACTTTTCTGTAGTGCATATCAGAGTTCCCGTAGATGATTAAACTTAGCATTCTCATAAAACAACATAACTTATTGATAATCCTGGGCTCATTAGTGATTAGCGGAGTTTTCAAGGAGCTGTGTTCTATGGAGCATAACAATTTAGAATTTACATACAAGTGGGATTGAATGATGGTTGGGATATAACTCAGTTCTACTGAAATACGATACTTTAGGCTATAGTACGCTAAATGATGGTCTTGTTCTGGATCCTGTGTTGACATCACAGATGCCAGTGATTCTGGTTCACGTTGACTTCACTTGAGATTTAAATTTGGTTCTCGAAAGCGGATCATTCATGTAGCCATCTTAGTCATTTCATCAGTTTTTTCAATCAGTCACACCGTCATAGAATAATTGTTCAAGGATAATATTCTATGGTAAGTTAAAAGGCAACGATTTCACTGTCATGTTGTTAATATTTCAAGTTGACTACTTCACTCTTTGTGTATACTGACGTGTAGTATTTATCTAATAGTGAATCGTTACACCTGTTTGTTTTATCTCTAATGATAGGTGTTCGCTGAGAAACATTTGTGCTTTCTAGTAGGCTTTTCTTGGACAAATTTTGGTCTTTTTTATATATTACAGTGTTGCTAGTCGAACAACTAACGTTCACCCAGTGATATGTAGTAATATTTATACGTTATTACGGTTTATTATCTTGCCAATCGACAGTAATCAGGCAGATGACAACGGTTCTGATCGTTTCAGTTGTAAGGTGTGGTGTAGCTTTATATATATATATATATATATATATATATATATAGTTTTTTTAGCTAAGTAGAAACAAAATATTTAGTGTTTATTTCATCATGGTCTATCTAATATCGATTGTTTTTATGAACCATTCTGGTATCGTGTGAATTGTGCGTAAAACTCAAATTTCTACAAACATCGCTTTAAGCAAATTTGCTATCGAAAAGCCCCAGTAAACAACTTAAGCAATAGTTCAGTCGCTTCTCTCTATTATAAATTTAAATGTATGATCTATAGAAACCTCGGCATCTAGTTGTATAAAAAGGAAATTATTGTCTTTCATACATAATATAGCTTATCATACGTATTGATGCCCCGTGACTTGTTGGTTAAAGTGTTCGATTTCGAACAACTGAGTCGCGGGTTCGACCTCACTCCATGTACTTCGGTTTAGGGGGACAAAATATCATTTTTAGCTCAAAGCCGAGTACACGAATATTTAAGTTGTTAGTGAGTATATCAACATGATCATCAATACGCTTATCTGTAATATTCAACAAAATTACGAAAATGGTAATTTGCACACAGAATCAGCTTCATTATTCCAACCGACTATAGTTCAAATGTCATCTAGTTGAATATATTATTAAGGCATTAAAGATTATATGTCCTCAACCAAGACGATTTAATTTATCTGGAGAAATATCACCTAACTGATGAAATGAACGTCAATTGAAAATGATGTTGATCCTTTAACTCTCTCCACATATGAATATATACATGTGTACATTTATATTAAAAAGATGATTAAATTTGTATTTTTTTTAAATCACACCTTATTGTTTTAATATTGCCTCCGATACATCACATTTCGTTCTGTATTCAGCCACATCCAGTCTATCCTTGCATTGCTTTCGCCTGTCCCAATTGCCATGTAAGCGTCAATTTCGGTCATCATAAATTTGCATACAATATTGGTCAATATATTGCTCGTGAACGTGCTGTAGCAATAAGTACAGCAGTTGATCGTAAATGTAATGATCAGTTAGCTTATGTGACAATGAGAAAGTGAGTGTTGGTTTGATCATGCTCTTCATATATATATATATATTCCTACTTCGATGTATGTCATAAGTATTCTATTCTTTTGACCTACTTTTTCAAGATTTATCAAACATTAAAATAAATTCGTTTCGAGTGTTTTAGTGACGTTTGATGTTAGAATTTCATGTCTGTATTGTTTTATTAACTTTAAGCGGGGAGGTAGCGAGCGGTTTGATTCTATTGAAATAGGTGTTTAGATATTAAAGACTATCTGTCTATTTGATGATACTTCATGATAAAAAAAGAAATCTCCTTTAGAGGAAATATTTTTAATTGTATCGTTTTCAAGTCGGCTGGTACCTAGAAGTATTTTATTCTCTTACCAGTTTATATCACCTACTAATCTTGTACAATCATTGAAAATATGGAATTATTTGGCAGCTGTGTATTCACAACCGCATTGGGGATGAACCCAAGATATTCTGGTTATACAGCAAGCGCTTAGCCTTTAAATCACTGAGTTGGTGTCCGAGTTTTTACATTTCTAATTTCGAGCCATACATGATATTGAGTCAATCATCATCAGATCGTACTGGTATGTAGTTATTTCACTGCCGATATAGTTAATCTCTAATGACCATGACTTCCCATTAAAACTGCGAGGATCGCCTCTTCAATAATTTCCACAAAACAGAACTTTTTTTAATAAATTTGTTTATTTTCAATGTAATACCTAGTTTGAATATGTATTGGTTCAGGCTACCACACCTCACACCAGCACGACAAGAGTTTGAAGTCAATAAGTTATGAAGCTGGAGATAAAAATTAATTTCATACGAATTTAAGACATGAAAAGTACAGCTCAAGATGAACAAAGTACTGTCGAGGTATAAGACTAAACCAATGATATTTCACTCTTGATTTTGAAAAATACAGAATGCTTGGGATTGTTTTACGTCGACCATATAAAATACGTTACTGCTGCCTCCCCTAAGTTTACTCAACAGAACTATTGCACCCTTAGATAATAAATTTGCTGCTTTTGGTCTTATTTCTATCCACATGGCCTACTGAATATTGCATGGGCTAGTGAACCATTAGGAACTAGGAAGCTTTACATAAGTGCTTTGTTTTAGCAGCGGTTTTTACTCTGAACGTTGCACGAAGTTGAACTTGAGACTTAATGGCCTAGTTACGATCACTTTAATTTATTATATCACTTACTACAATCAAGTGGTTCTTGTTAGACAATTAATGTGTGGAATTAGCACTAATTTCATTTACAATAGAGTATTCTATGAGATTCCTATCTTATAATCCTTGATCTTTCAGTCAATCATATTTATTCTTTTATTTGATAATTAGCATCTAAGCATGTCATCTTACGAAAAAAATTATTCTACTGGCTAATAAATAGTCTTATCTTTAACATCTCTTCATTCGGGAGTTTGAGTCCATAACCTGGTTATATGAGCGGCCGTCACTCGATCACTTCTTATCACTGATTTTAATTATCGATCAGCAGTATAATTATTTATTTTAACAGTCTGGAACTCGTTTATTAAACTGCTCCTCCATAAAAACAACTTTATCGGATTCATTCTGTAAAATGACCTCGGTTCAACGTCATCAAATCTGTAACGCATAATGATCATTGTTGCAATCACTTCTTTAAGACAGTTTAAGCTAATGCTTGAGCCCGTTAAATTTAATGAAATCGTGGTTGAATTAATATTTAAACAATGATATCCTTTTGTCTTGTATTGTTTACAAATAACGTGTTAATATTATTTGCTTCAAATCGACGTTGAACTGTGTGGTCATCCTAAGGTGTTTAATTAATCTCGGGACTCGTTAGGCATAACAAACTCTTGGATTTTATTGTGCATACTTCACACCGTTACAAGGTAAAATAAATGCCGTAACTGAAACGATATTTTAGTTATTTTTTGTCTAACCTTTTTGAGATGTACATGTACCTCATACTTGTGTTAATGATAGACTGCTAATATCAAAAATTACTTAATATACTAAGTGTCTTATATTTCAAAGTTCACTTTATTGATGTAAATGAGTGCATTATTACGATAATAGAAATAGATTTGAACTGACACGACCTCATGACAAATACATCCTCTAAATCCCGACCGTTGTTGCTACCTTGATGTGGTGGTCGGGCTTGCCTATCGTGATGAAGCAACTGAGCTATACTGGCTAGAACAACCGTTCCTCAAGGTCCTACCATGCCAGACAGGTCGGTTGAAGAGCGGTAAGACTAAAAGCAACAAAACCCAGGTCCCAAGGCGAAGTCGTACTGCTGACTGTACAGAGGTGTGACAGCAGTAAGGTGTTTGCTTCAGACAACCAGCATAACAGTGATACTGCTTTCCCACAAGGAGGGGAGGGGTTAGAAAAGGTCGACCCTAAAAATACACACCTCGCCTTATCCCGCGGATATCTGTCTCTGGCGGTAAGGTCTCAACAAGTACGGAGCTAACACAAAAATTACTCATAAAAAGGTCGTGTGTGACCGACCTCAAGCTGTTGTCCCTTGGGCACTGCGATCATGCTCTCAGGTCACTAAGACCACCTCTAATCCAATTTCATTCAAGGCACCTCCAGGAGAGCCCTTCCACGGTGTGGGCAACCGGGAAGTGATAACCGCCCTCATACCTCTAACAGCACTCAAGACCACTGTATTCATAATCAACCTACCTCTTCAATTCCTATTATTCCTCTTACATCGACTTTCAAATCTAAACTCCCTCTTTTAGCTTCCTCCTCAAGTGTCACCACAGCCAACGATTCTTGTGCGCGCAACACTGTCCCAGGTCTACTGAAACCCCGCTCCAAACAACACACTGAAGCCTTCAACGTACGCACACTATGCCAAATCGGTCAGCAGGCTTCCTTGGCTAAAACCTTAGAATCTCGTACGATTGATGTATGCTGTGTCTCCGAAACACACATACAGGATCCTAGTGTGGTCATTCACTTGACCTCACCTCGGCAAAACTGAGGCCCGACGAGATACACCCTCCGTGTATCTGGCGACCCGATGGCTAGTTCTCGTGTACTGGCAAGTGTAGGCAGAGCACTAAGCATGAGGGCGGAACAAGCGCTATTAGAGTGGATCCCCGTTAATAGTCGTCTATGTGGTGTTCGGCTAAACGGCTCGGTAAGAACTCGGAAGAATAGGGACACACGTCGTTGCCTTTTCGTCGTTTCTGACTGCAGCTCGGATGAAGTGAAAGATGAATTTTACAGAAAGCTGTCTGAACTTCTTCAGAAAGCTAAACGTTCAGACATAGTACTCGTAGCAGGTGACTTTAATGCCCATGTAGGTAGCTTAAATGAAACAGAAAGAAATTTAGATGGGTATTTTAGTATTCCGGCACAGCGAACAGATAATGATGATCGTCTGCTGCAACTGTGGTCAGACAATCGTTTATTTTTAGCAAACACAAATGTTAAGCATAAGGAGAGACATCGTCTAACATGGTGACCCCGTGCACCAAATCAACGATGGATTCGAATAGACCATATTGCCATCAGTCATCGTTGGAGAGGGTCAATAGAAGATTGTCGCTCATTCTTAGGTAGTTCTGAAAACGAGGCTGACCCCGATGTTGATTGGAAAGACATACAAGCAGCTGTGGAAACAGCAGTGACATCTACTAGTGATTTAAACCACAGGATTACAAAGAACCAATGGATTTCGTCAAGGTCTATTGCACTGATAGATTCTCGTAAACTCATCCCATCAGATTCTGAACACGATGAAGAGCGTAAAGAAATCAGATCTAGGTTAAGCAAAAGTCTAAGGAACGATCGTGAGCAGTGGTGGGCAACGAAAGCAAAAGAGATGGAAAAGGCGGCGGCTATAGGGAACACAAGACAACTCTACAGACTAATAAAAGAAACTGGAATTAAAAAGTCAAATGTAAGTCGGACTATTTCGGAAAAAGACGACACTCATCTGCCCCCAGTCCAGACGTTTAGAACGATGGGCGGAACATTTTAAGGAGCAGTTCAGTTGGCCTTCAGCTACTCTACAACTACCCTCTATTCCCAGACAGTGTGAATGGAACATTGAAGTAGGTCCCCCATCTCTAACTGAAGTTCAAAAGGCTATAGTTAATCTGAAACGAGGAAGGGCATCTGGTCCAGACGGATTGGCCCCAGAGGTCTTTAAAGATGGTGGTCTAATTTTAGCGACTATGTTGACTAATATTTTAGCTAAAATCTGGGAGTTGGACATAATCTTCTCAGACTGGTCACAATCACTTATCGTTCCAATATTTAAGAAAGGGTCAAAATCATCCTGTGACAACCATAGAGGGATTAGTTTGACTAATATAGTATCTAAAATACTAGCCTCGATAATTATCGGACGTCTAACTAAGACTCGTGAACTGCAAACACGTGAAAATCAGGCTGGCTTCAGACCTGGTCGTCGATGCATAGACCACATATTCACCATTCGTCAGGTTCTAGAACACAGGCATACTTATCGGCGTCCGACAACGGTGGTCTTCCTTGACTTTAAAGCTGTGTTTGACTCGGTAGACCGAGAGGTTCTGTGACAGTGTCTGTCATTGAAAGGCGTACCTCAGAAGTACATAAACCTTGTGAAAGCTCTTTACTCGAGCACTACTAGTCGAGCCAGAATTTATGGAGAACTGTCATCTGCTTTTGCAACCTCAAGCGGTGTCCGCCAAGGCTGTCTACTTTCTCCATTTTTGTTTAACTTCATCATAGATCTACTGATGGAAATAACGCACTCATCGACTGAAACCTCGGGCAATGATTTCCTACCAAGAGGTTCACTTATCGACTTAGAATACGCAGATGACAGTCCTGTTTGGTGAAGACGCTGATAAAATGCAGAGTCTTTTGGTAGCACTGAGCAACAATGCCAGAATGTTTGGGATGCACTTCTCTCCCTCTAAATGCAAGTTGTTGCTTCAGGACTGGTCTGCGTCAACACCTGAACTAAGGATAGGGGGTGAAGTAGTCGAACG